CTACTGTCTCTCATGAAGCCTGCCACACATCCAGGACCTTCCCATGACTCTGCTCCTGACCACTCCCAACCAAGTCCAGTGCAGGGTTGGCAGTAGCCTGGAATCCATCCTATTCTTGTTCCAGTCATTCCACTGATTGCATCTAAACAGATGACTTTCCTAGGGTTTTTTGTCAAAATTTATAGTCAGCTGGTCTAGAAGCCACACTTGTGCTCAGAGATTGCATTCTGTAGTAGTCTTCAATCGGCTAGGATTATGTTCTGCTGATATGGCCAGATACAGCATTACTGGCAGATTAAAGGATTAGCTTGATAATGCTTATGTTCAGGTTTGTTAATCATTTTTTCCGGCATTTTTTTTCATGTTTTAATGGCTTTAGTAATGGTGTGAAGTACAGAGGAAAATGTAGCACCATTAACAGAAACATTCAAGCTGCCAATCAAAAAGTAGTGACTTAGGGGCACTTTAGACTGACAACGGTTAAATAGTCGTACGAATGTTTATCGTCAAGATGTTGCCGGCGACGGTATTTTACAACCGTCTAAAGACAATCAAAATAGTCGCACGACGGTAATCCTCGAATCGTCGTCACTACCACCTCGGACCCTATCGTGCGATCCTTCAGCGGGGGGTCCGAGGAGGATTTTCCACCGTCTAAAGTGAACCGTCGCCGGCGAAGGAAGTGGGAGGTCATTGGCCTTATGCAAATAATCCTGCAAGCGTTATTTCATGTCCAAGCACATCGCCAGTATCATTGAATGCCGTCAAACCAAAGACTTTATATCGTCATACGTGTCTAGTACAATCCCCAGCCACCAATCGCTACTTCTCCGGCACGAACCGATCCGCCGATCCACATTTCCCGGCCAATATAGCCAGGCCGACGGCAGCACCGAACGCCGGGTTCAAACCCGGAGTATTGCCCCGGTCGGTACATGTGCCTCATACCCCTTCTTTGCTGGACACAAACTAGGAGTCTCATCCACAGAACAATGAGTTAAAAGCAGAATAAAAACAATCTTCTGCAGCATGCCGAAAAAAAGGGGTTCTCTCGCCATTTTGAATTGGCGCGCGGCGTGCCATCCTGCGCTGCGTGTGTCCGCCACACTTCCTGGTCATGTGTCTAAAGTCAGCCGTCGCACACAACGATTGTCGTGCGATCGTATACCGTCGTCAGTCTAAAGTCGGCCTAAGCATGTCAGAGCATGCCATACATCTGCTCTCAACCTGTAGCTACTGTAAATATTATTCATTTTTACAGGTGATTAAGGTAGAAGGGAAAATGAAGGTTATTGCTGTGTTTCAAGTATTTTGATGTACATGTAGCAGTGAAACATTGGGAACGTACATTTGGGGTGTAATGTATTTGCTTTTGGTAGGTCAATGCAAAAATAAATCCAGTCTGAATATTTTAAGATTTCCAGTATGTACCTGTTGCCCTGGTGCCTGCCCTGTTGGGTTGTTTTGGTCAGAGACAGGACAGTAAGGCTGAAGAAGTGCAGGCACTAATCCAGCAGGTTGATGATGAGGCCCTCTGTGTGATAAGGCTCCCGCCCTGCCAGCCCAAGTTACATAGGGGAGAGTGACACTAGAAAGTGAGGGGAGATAGCATCAGCTGCTGGGAGGCCACACCTAGTTATCCCCTTGTTTCTCTGGCAAGGTGATATTAGGGGGACATCCCTACATTCTGATGTCCCCACATTCTGAGGGTTAGGGGGTGTTGCAACATACATGGAGGTTCAGTTGTTGGAACATGAGGGTGTCGCAACACGTCCTAATGTTTGCCCCAACTGCTGTTAACAGCTGAGGACTCCATCTTTTTAATTCCGATAACCAACAAGTTAAATTAGTTTGGCTGGAGGGTGGCAGCTGATAATGGGGTGAGGAGACACAGGTATCAGTGCCAGGGCTGGTCTGAGCTGATGCCACAGGGCCCATGGGACCAATTACAACAGATTAAATGCATTGTTGACAACCCAATAGGAATAGCAACAACCCTGTTAGGCACTGGCTGCCGCTAGGTCATACTGGTAGATGGGTGAAGTCTGCTTAGGTTGCACCAGTTTATCTTCTTGGTTGCTAGATTCAAAGAAAAAGAAGAAACAGTAGATGGGAAGGAATGTTGTAGCCAGGAAATGATGTGGTGTGGCTTGGTCTGATTCCATGGGCACTTGGAGTAGCTGTCTGTTGACCAATTCTCTGTTAGGCAGCAGGGAGGAGTCTGAAAACTGGCTGAAGATACTGTTTTGCAAACAGGGTAGCATCGGGGAGGTGCCTGTTATTCGACACTGCTGAGTTCGGCATTCTTACTCAGCCAGAAGGAATTGGGAGGGTCTTAGGTGCAAGATTAGCTACAACACACACGATATAAAGGTGCCAAAACTTCCTGCCAAGACTCCAGAGTCGCCCAGTTGTTTCTGGAAGGATTTACGTCTTCAGTGGGAAGGAAGTTTGTTTCTTGAAGGCATCAATCCCCTAAATCCTTGAAGTTTAAAGACTGGTCTCCTTACAGCTGGATGTAATCACAGGCAGCAACTGGAGATGAACCTGAGAACATGTCGTCTCCACCAGACTAACAGTGCCGGCTGAAAACTTTGGAAATTTAGCCAAATAGGGTGAATCATTTGCCAGGGGAGTTTTCAAAGGGTTCACTCTCCTGGCCAATTACTACATTCATCCTATTTTTAGGGAATTCTACTACCTATGACCCCCTTAGAGAGGCCTGGTAGAGGCTACAGAGTATGTAGTTCCTGACTGCAGTCTAGGGACACCAAGTTGATTTGTCAGTTCTCAGATTTAAACGTACATTGTTAAACTGGAAGACACACATTTACCTTTTCTGTTTATGGAGTACAGGGGGGGGACTACACACATGACACAGTCTTAGTGTAAATGTGGTCGTACAAAAGTTTTCCTCTGTTTTCGTCATCAAAAAATACTTTTGCTTCATCTTATCTAAGAACCAACGAAATGATTTGATGCAGTCTGAAGGGGAAAAAAACAGTGTGAATTTCTGACAATTTGTTCCAAATCTGTAGAGGAGAACACCTTCCTAATGATCAGCAACTTGCCTGGAGGAAGAGCTGGAATTTTTCCATCCACCTTTGGGAAAGGTACAGCATGTCTCCACCAGGACCCTGCCTGTTGCTAATGACTTGTGTGCCGCAAGCGATTGAGAAGACTATGTTTGTTGGGAATCCGTATCACAGCCTTGGCATACCCACTGTCACTTGTAATCTGGTCCCCACAGTCTTGTTATCTCACACGACCAGATAAAGGGAGATAGTTGTGGATAAACAAGCTACCCTCAGGATGAGATTAGCACCATGCTTCTTTTCCCTGATCCTGGAGGCTATGGTAAAATAGTAGCTTCCTTAGCAGGCTTTAATATAGCCACTTACATGTACATATTCTTCTCTAGCCATTTACATGGAACCCCTATTTCATCCTGAAAACTTATAGCCATGTGACCAAATTTTGATCAATTGCCTTATGGAATTTAACGTAATGTAGGCGGCATAAACACACACACACACACCACCACCACCAAGCACACCCATCAATATTGGTTTACTGGTGGAATTGTGTGCCAGGGGAGTTATCTGGGAATTTTGCAACCAAATTGTACTCCTGTGGTATAATATTCTGTCTATTTGAACAATTTCTACTTTATTTAAAAGCAGCCAGGTAGAGGCTATTATTATTATCTCAAATGTTGGAAGGCAAATTTCACAGTGTTAAATGATGCATATTACATGTAATGTACCACCAGTTCAATCATGTTCACAGAAGTCTGCTGGCTCCCTGCCATTGTGCCAGCAACTTGAGCTTCTTGAACTTCTGCCCATTTTTTTGCTCAGTATATTTACAGGAGTGAACAAATGGACTTTTAAAAGGAGAGCTATTCATTTCAGGGTGGCCTGCAGGACCAGAAATGTAGTCTCTACCAGACTCCAATGGCGTGTTGGAAAATCGGGCAAATAGACTATGCCGAGTATGTCTTTAACCTGTCAATAACAATTACTTTTAACAATCCTTTGGGGGGATAGGTTACCCTATCCTGGAAAATCTAGGTTTTTGAAAATTGATGTGAAGCATTGAAATGTACATTTACAACATGCCTTGACTTAAGGCATTCAATGCAATTTCAGGGCAGTCATTTTACAAGTCAAGTTTCTGGTCTTACTTTTGATGTAGTGAGTTGAATCAATACCAATTGATGCCACACACACCCCACCCCACCCCAGACAGATTGTTGCTCCTTTAGGTCAGCACTGATAGGTGCATGTGGGAACTACAGCGGCTACTGTGCAATAGGAGATGCTTAATAAAGGAAAGGCAGTCACTGAGAAGCGTGTTAAGTTATCACCAGAACTCAATTTATTTAAATAGTTCCTATTCTTTATATACAAACTTGTACAATAATTGTATACTTAAAAATAGTTGTCGCCGGAAATTATTGTTTTTCAACCGTCAAATAAGTACAGAAAAGTCCTGGTCTTCTAAATACTAAAATTGTACGTACCGAATGTCCGAAAACGACAATGGCGGTCTAAACCCTTTGTTTTTGCGTGTTTTGGAATGAACCAAAGTCCTTGCACACAAGTATTAGTAATATAGTTAGTGTTCCGTGCCGGCCCTGGCGGCGGTCGTGCTTGTAGAAACTCACGGTAAATCACTGAGAGAATTGGCCCGCCGTTGGAAGGTCCCGCGATGTCGCATTATTAACGTCACACATAATAAATCTCACGGTTTGTCTGTAACTACAGGCTGATTCCGTGTGAGGTTTCTTCTTGCAAACTCTCCTCTACTAGAAATAGGTATAACTGAGTCACACGTACATCAATATTTACATCAAGTCATTTTGCGGTGAGAAGGAGGGTCTATTTAGTTTTATATATCTGTACAAGCCATTATTATATATGCAGTCTTACCGCGTGGACGTACCGCCCATACTGTCCGCTCGCCCTCCGGGGGAGGGGCGGGGCGATACGAGGGCGCCCTTGGCCCTGGGGCGAACGCACGCAGGTGGTTGAAATGAGATAAGGTCCTGTTGTCCTGACTGGGATGTCCAGGTGGAACGCTCTGTGGTTGTATATCCAAAGCACTTGCCCAGACAACGTGTTGTACTCTCACGTCACACTGACATTTAATATGACGAATAAATATGCTAGTTTCGTTTCTGAGGTTTTTTCCCAACATGGGATTTGGACCCGAGTGTTAACTTACTTTTGCCACAGCTGCGACAAGTCTGTTGAAACACCTTTTTTACAAGTTATTCCAATATGACGGACATGCACTTGCACTTCTTGACTCTCTGTATTCTTTTCCGTTTGAAGTTTGGGGTGAGGTTGGGGCAGCGTAACGTCACGGTGATCATGCTGTACCTGTGGGGTTTGCAGAAGGCGCAGGACTGGAAAGACTCCGCGTCCTTGCGCACGTGTTTGGGGATGTAGAAGGAGTTGCACTGTCCGTAGCAGAAGTGGTTGATAATGGTCCTGGAGAGACATCCCTTGGCGCGGACCGTTTGGCGGAGCGGCTGCGTCTTGCACCAGTCCTGCTTCAGGTACTTCCGTTCTGTGACGACCAGAGCGCGGCGGGAGGACTTCAGAATCTCCCGCTCGTCGATCTGCTGGTCGCTCTCGTTCGGCATGTCCTTGTCGGGGTCCGGGATGTAGGACGCGCTGTGCCGGGGCTTCCTGCCGCCTGCTTTCCGCGTCCGAGACCGCCGACGGCCTTTCCGTCGCGACTTGCGGTCGTCGTCATCATCGACGAAATCGTCGTCGTCGTGTTGGAGTTCCGCGTGCTTCTGCACGCCGCGAATCACAGAAAGCGTGTCGAACTCCTCCCCGTCCTCTTCGTCCTCGTCTGAAGACCCTTCCTCAGACGAGTCGTCGAAATAAGAAGTAGAAATACTAGGTTCCCGGGAGTCCGCAGCGGTAAATCCACTGAACACCGGCAGGGTCGGCAGAAACCCGCTGTCGGGAACGGCCCCGTCCTCCCCCGACCGGAGCCCGCGGAACGCCAGCAGCTCCAAGTCCTCCCCCTCCTCGGGAGGAGTCCCCTCGTCGTCCCGCCACCTGCTTCCGTCCGCCGCCGCCAGGTGGACTCCCCCTACCATCAGCAGCAGGGCCGCCACGCAGACCGCCTCCCCCACCTGCCGTGCCGCCATCCTGCAGGGACAGGAAATAAGGAACACACGGAAGTCAGAGCCGTGACCTCGGGACGCGACCCCTCCCCGCTCCAGCATCCCCGCTATCTTAATGTGTCCCCGTCATCCCCACGGGTCAGGGGCTGACATGCCGACACACCGCCAGATATGCCGGGGTGATATGTTACTCATACCTCCTGCCAGCTCATATTCACAACATACACATACATGTTACTCATACCACCTGCCAGTTTTCATTCACAATACACATATATCATACAACAGGGACCAACGTGTGCTGCAGCCAAAAACGCGCCCAGTTCAACCAAGACCATCTCCGGTTGTTTTTTTTTTGTTGTTGTTGTTGAAAAAAAAAAGATTTGGCTAATGTGCCCTACGAATTCCCTGGTCCGCCTTACAAATTACCCTCCCCATTCTACTATTTCTAATTTAGACTACGCTTGTGGCATAGAACAGGGAATTGAACTAAGTAAGACAGAGTAGACACAAAATGTACGAAGCTCTAGAGAGGAAGTGCCAAATCTATAACAAACCTTACTAGGTAACGCAAAACGGCGTGCTCAGTTTCATGTACGTCCAAAGCGGATTGATGATTTTATGGCAAGATATAACTCCCTTTCACCCGGAGATCGACTTTGGGCGCAGACGGAATAGGCGTCTTCCCGTGCCGAGGAGCCCGCCTCGACTTGGTGAACGCATTGAAACTCGAGAAAAGTCACTTTACTCACTCATCAGGCAGGCGTGCCAGGACCTCAGGGTCCTTGGCTGGCATCGCGAGCCGCGCCATGCCTCAAACGACATCGCGAGAAGAACTCCATTAGAGAAGATGTGACCCGAGGACCTCTCACCACCCTATCCACAGTTTACACAAGCGGCAGACTGAGCACCGGGCGGGAGAGAGATCGATTCAAGCTCCGTACTATACGCCTCCCTTCCCTCCAACAAACTTGACTTCCCGTTTACGCCTGTCTCTATCCCTCCCTCTCTCTTTCTCTCTCTCCCTCTCTCTCAACGGGGGACTTGTGTAGACAAAATAAACAGGTTACGTGACATGTGCAAACAAGGCTCACTGAAAGCCAAGCAGCCACAACGGCGAGAACAATCACGAACAATCGTCCTTGAATTGGAGCCTATCACAACCATTGATTCCCCCACCCGGCCTTTTGGTCGCACGCTGACCCCGAAAGCTCTATCGACAGGCTCCGTGGTGCCGGCGCCCGCTTATCCCTCTCGAACCGTCAATTTGAAAGGGTATTATTGTGTCGGTGCTGTGCCTAAGCGGCAGTGATGGGCCGGAGATGCCAGGGAGTTCGTCCCTGTTGCCTAGAAACTTCGGATCATAGTCCCATGACCTACGTAACGCCACACCTTAGAAATAATTGTTTTGAAGAAGTTCACAAATCATCATTTGCAACGACAGCAGCCAAACGTTCAACAACGTCGTCTTCTTTCGTCACAGCTACATTGCTGGCTGACCTAACTTACCGCGCCGACAGCTTTGTGGACGCCAAACCCACCATATGCTCTTCATAAACGGACACACACACACACACACACACACACACACACACACACACACACACACACACACACACACACACACACACACACACACACACACACACACACACACACACACACAAACAAACAAACAAACTTGAAGAACTGTGATTTCAGAGAGACACATAACTCGAGGAAAAGTAAAATAAGAAAGTATTAAACTAGTAAAAGAGATGAAAAACATATGTACGAAAATATAACCTACCTTGAGTCAACAACCGACAATTGTAACCTTTCTTTCGATTGTTCCAAGACCACAGAGGAGGCACGTCACTGACAATGCAATGTCACCGGAATGTCCCGAATAGTGTAAGTTCGGTCACCCCGAAAACTATGTGCCCCTCCGCCTTAACGCTTCCATTCCCCACAACCACCCTAGAACATGTTTGAATTCAAAGAACGTATATACAGAAGAATGAAAAAAAGGCATTGCCTTACCCTTTTCCTTGATCTGTCCTGCTATAGCGCCCGTGAAGTGCCTGCAGAATTAGCCGTGTGCTTCTGTAGTGAGCTCTGCGGTTAGTCCGTGTGTACGCGCGGTGTGGTTGGTGTGGGAGCGCGAGCCTGGCAGTCACGTCCTAACCGTGCAGGAAGTCCGAGCGCTAGTCCTGCGGGCGAGCGGCTGCCAACAGTTTAAATAGTGCTTTACATGCGCATTGAAATGAAGAAGTTTATTGAAGCAGCGCCGCCGTGGCGCGGGGACAACGCATGACCGCTCAAGTCTGGGAATTTTATCTCTCAGGAGCCCCGACCGATTGGCTGCGCAGCTGATTAAGGCTTGTCACCCCCTAGAACGGCGTCATGATGTGAGCCGTGGCGCTGAGCTGCCGGCCCGCCGGGCTTTATCGCTCTTCTGATCTCCCTTGGTGGAAAGCACGCACCCCGGCACCCATCAATTACTACCCGGCGTAACCAGGACTGAGCCATTCAGAACCGTCCCACGCCCCGTGACGTGGCGACGTCGCGCGTCCCTCCCCCCTGTCGCCGTGCGTGCGTCGGCGTGACGCGACTGTCTCCGTCTGCGCGACACCTGAAGCTCGGAGGAGACGCCGTCCAACCAAGTTCCAACCTTCTTGGATCACCCGGGCTCACAATGAGCCACAATTGCTGCTGTCACTGGATAAGTTGTGTCTGATAGCAACACATGTATGTTTTCCTAGAATTACCCAGGCGCCAGGTCTACCGATCCGCAATTGTTTCTGCGGGAAGACGGACAACAACCCGCCTCGGTGCGGGGCCGGGGCGACCCCAGTACCGTGCGTTCATGTTGGAAGAGAGGAAGAAAAAAAGTCCACGATTTACGCGGGCAACGAATGAAGCCCGAGATTTCAGCAGTGTCGATCTGACCTAACTTAACGGTCGCCACTTTTGCACACCAGCAAATCCGCACCCGACCCACTGCCCGTCTTCATGACTGAAGCGACCTTTAAAGTACAACATGTAAAGGAAGCCTATCTTAAGCCCCTACATACGGGCACCCCAAAAGAAGACTGTTATATTTAAAAGAATCCATTGTTTTGCAAACCATAAACGGCGTATTAAAGAACTTGGCACGTTGATTTGATTCACAAGTGCCTTTAGGGATTTAGGGTGAGACCAGGGATCGCGTGCCCTGTGCCTGCAGTTCATGCTAGAGGTGAAGAGGGCGCACCTGCAAGGTACTACGGCACTAGCAGGCATCATCCCGTGTACCTCTTTGGGAACGTCGGGTTACTTCGTAGTTTGCGAGCACGTTTCGCTTGCAAGAGAAATCTGTACTGGCAGCGAATGATTTGTGTTGGAAGGCTCTCAGACAGACTGGGCGTCGGTGCGACCGGTCGGGACGGAGTTTACAAGAACTGCGGGCCGCCATCCTGGCGACGCGCGCTAAGCCGGACCAAAATGCGACGTGGCAGGCCCAGAGAAAACTATTAATTATCCGCGTGAAATTAGCCGTCGCTCAGATGCGCCGCAGACTGATCGCTTTCAAAATATTTACCATGGAGCACTGCCGGGGTGCCCCGCAGGACCTGCGGCCAGCGTCCCGCCCAGCCCCACTGGTCGTAACGACCTGCTAATTGTTTATTCGCCACCTCTTGTGGATTGTCAACCAATTATCGTCTCCACGATAAAACCGACACAAACACGGGTCCCCGCCCAGCCATTTCTCCCGTTTGCACATGATAGCCAGCCTCTTAGTAGGCTCTTGTGGTCGAATATTTGGGACTTGTGTGTTATTGTGCTTTTTTCCTGGCTATAAACCAGTTCTGATAGTACCCTGTTTTCTTGTATGCGGCGTCTATAGTAGTGCATTTAAACTCATGAGGTGGCTTATAGGAAGCCGTGTACATGCGAACGTATACATAACCAGGAGAAAAAAAATCATTATAATAAAAAGGCCCATCCCGTATGAGCCTGGTAAGGCTTCTAGTACGCGCGCCCTGGAAACTGTGAAAGCAAAGTCTTGTGAAGATACCGGGTTAGATAACTGGACAGACTCACCACTTCTATGATTAAACTAGACAGAAACTGCTCCGACCCGAGCACTGAGAGTTTTCTACCTCAACAACTTGCTCTGAACCCCCCGCACGTTTTCTTACAAGACAGATTATGTCACTTTCCAGGGACATGTCGGGTTCTAGTCTCACCCAGACTCCTCAGGGGCTGAAATAATACCTCTTTGCGGACTAGCAAAATTGTAGAAACTGGCCAATATAGGGGGAATATTTGTAAGAGGTCTTGGTTCGTCTTTGGAGTACAGATTTGTAAATTGTAATGCTATGGATTACATGTACTACTTTACTAAAGAATCGATGTTGTAAAATCCCCGGTTCGGTGGAACGACTTTCCCTTCCGTCACGGGTCAGTGCCGGGGTGACCCTCCCCGCGGTTCTCCCCAGGTACTAACGGCCGCTCAGTCGGCGGACACCAGGACGGACCTGTCGCGACGGACACAGCCGACAACGGCCCGACCGTCTCCCCGTGTTTTCTCTGTCGTGCTGGGGGTTAATCGGCGTCATCATGTAAATCTTTTGTCGCCTGTTTGTACATTATCGGTGAGACCCGCTGTGGTGTTGTCCCGGGAAATGACAGGGCAACGACTTTAATTATCAAAGTCTTCTTTTCTTCATCGTTAGTGGCCTTTCTGTAGAATGAAATTTGTTTCATCATGTTTTCCACGATCAGACTCTCTAAAATTCTCTAATATTGACGTTGATACTACATTCGCATTCGTGACTCGTACTCCATTCGCATTCATCAATGCTGTGCATAAAGACATCTCGTCCTAGTCTTCCCGAATTCCATACATTTGTACAAAACATGAGGCACTACCGCATTCCAACTTACACCGCAGCATACACGTTCAGGTTGTGGATTTTCCCAAACTGTAGAGTAGTATTCAATGTTTTCCGCTATTTGAAAGAAACCTTTAAAATATCAAAATTTGACAACTGAAGCAAAAATCCAAGTGTTCCTTAGTTCCTGCCAGACCGTTTCCCGGCGGGACGTCTCGCGGTTCACCGTCCCGCGGCCCTTGGCTCGGTCACCGGCGGTGATTCTAGTGAGGACTGACGACTTCTGGACGGACTCGAGCAGGTTTGAACCGGTTCCAAGCTCACAGAATTAACGGATGTGACATTAAACGTATCGGTAAGTGGAGAAACCTCCCTCGTGATGTTTCACGGCGATTTTTCTGTTCCTTTCACATCAGATTTTGTTTCAACATGAAAACTAGAGCCCGTTGGTATGATGCACAATTAAAGCCGTTTACCATTTCCTAACACAAGAAATCTGCTACACGTGTACGAAATATTTATTAAACGTTTGTGTATACAACAAGTGTTCCGTAAGTTAACTGATTATAAGCCTTTTCGTTGCTACGGAAGTATATTTTCCTTAGCAACTGTTACTAAAGAGACACGCCAGCCATTTTCAAGGGTCAGACAGTTAACACTCTTCTGCCTCTTGTGACTCTCACCAAATTTGACGACGTCATGACGCAAGTTATGCTTTATTTTTAATTTGGAGCATATTTGCTTCATTTGGATACGTATGTACATACACAAAGAGATTCAGAACCACTTTGTCCCACCTGTAACACCACAGCATACCTGAAAATATATCTCCTCAAGAACTTTAAAAGTGTAAGAAGAAAATGAGCCGGATTCCTGCATCTGCCCCTTCCTAGAAGTGGGTGTTTCTTTTAAATTGTATGTTCGGCTCGTAGATCGTGCGCTCGGACAACAAAAACTCTCCAGTCGCCGCAGAAAGACGCGCCAAGCGCCTGAGCCACCATACCTCTGCTCAGAGCTGGTCCTCTGCTGGCTGCCGTCTGCCGAGTGTTTTGCCCACAGACCCGCCGTCTATATGTTGGCGTCACTTTCCGACACAAGTTTACCCGTGTTTTCACACTATCACAATCCCCGCGCGTCACGCCGTGCCGCTTAAAACACTCCTCAGACACTCCAGGACAGTTTCCTGGTTCTGGGTACTGGAGTACTTCTTTTGTGTGTGTTTCTTTGTGTGTGTTCGTAGGTAGTTGAAATTGAATGCAGCAGTGGCAGAAGGGTAGGGGGGGGGGGCGAAAGTTGGCAGTCTAAATGGTCTCCTTACTAGCTGTTTTTGTCCCGACTGGACCCGTAGAAAGTACGTCAGAGCATCTCTTTGTGGCAATGAATTCACAAAAGCTCTAGATACATTCAGCAAGTTTGAAATAATTATACCCATTTCTTGTTCTTTTCTCATTTTAAAACAAAAATCACGAAGTGAACCATTCTGGGTACACGCCAACCCCAATATGCCCATAATGGTACCAACTGTTGAATAATGTCCGACCCATCGGCTTATTGGAATATCTCTAACCCGTAAACTATTTTAAATGACAAAGTCACAACCACCTGTCTAACAATAGTCGCTTGTTGAAAATAATAAAGCTCGAATTGATCACCAACCTGAAGATATCATTCACGTACGTAAGCTATTATATCTTAAATGCTTTTCCATCGCTTTCTTATACCACAACCCACCACACTTTACGGTCTGGTCTTCCGGGTTGACATCCAGGAAAAAAATAAGATGATAGTCACCTGTTATGTCAATCCTTTCGATTTCACAAATGTGGTAAAATGAATAGATAAATATGTTTCTATTTTCATTCCGCCCGCTCGCTCTATTAAATACATGCAAAATCCAAGAACCAGAAACTACACCGGTGTGGCCCCTGCAGCTGCGGCAAACAGTCTCCAATCGAGCCGCCCTTGCCGACTAACGCAGTACCGTGTTTGTGTGTCCCCCTCTCGACCCAAGCTGCTCGGGCGCCAGGAGATTTTCTACCAAAACACAAACTCGCGGAGGCCGACTGCTTGAAACGGTAGATGCCTTACACGCCGCGGACGCGCCTCCAAAGGGGGACCTTAAATCTCCTGTAAATCAACGGGCGGCGAAGGGCTTTTCACAGCTTGTAAAAAAGGTCCGACCGAGCCGAGCATGTGGTGCTTGTTTGGGCAGGGTGCTGGGAATAAAAGTCTCGAAAGTCTCCACCAGACTAACAACACGGGCTGAAATATAGTAGAATTTAGTCAAATAGGGAGGATGATTTGCCCTGCGAACTGCTATGGCCAGTTTCTACTTTTTTTTCTACTCGTGGGGTCTGGTAGAGACTATTTTCCGACTACCGACTTGGCTTTCCCTGCATGGTTAATGCATAACGTTGACCTTTTGGCTTCCCCTGATATGTTACGTAACAGCGTAGTCTTGCTTATGTAGACAGTGATTTAGTTTGAAACGTCAAACTCGGAATGGAGCCACGGTGTCGTTGCATTTGACTTTGAAGACTCGAACCGCGCCCCTGAGCTGCGGCCGGAGCCCTACGTGATTTGACGTAACGTAACATCATATATTTATCTGACGTCCATGATTAACTACCAAACGTCAAACAGGAGCCACAGAACCGTTGACCTTGAAGAGAACATCTTTCATATCGTTTTACTCCTAACTCATGACCTGTCATTATTCGGTCAGCGTGGCTCTGAGAACTGTGTGTTGTTTATATATTGTCATATAAATGGGACGAAGAGACGAGGGGCTGTCATATCCTTTTAGTAGAACTGGCACTCTTAAACGTTATTGGGCGATCTTTTCCAAAAAGATTCGTGCATGTTTATCAGTGACGCCAGTGATTCTACTCGAAAAGGCAAACTCCAAGAGGTCATTGACCTTTAGGTGTTCGTCCTTGTTTCAAAGTCATAACCCTCCTGCACTGGTTTTCATAGGCACAGCCTGCACTTGTTTTCAAAGTATTAACCACATTGTTACCTCCATGAAAAATGGAGGTATTGTATTTGGCGCGTCTGTCTGTGTGTGTGTCTGTGTGTGTGTGTGTCTGTGTTTCCGTACATTTGTAGTCAGCATAACTTCATAACGCCTTTATGGATTGTGATGATATTTGGTATGCTGGTAAGTCTTAGGAAGACGAAGGTCAAGGTCAAATATGGGCCTCCTGATGGATGACCTTGGTACTGCAGCAGAACTTCCAGTTTTTGTATCTTTTGTCCCGAACATGCCATGGTCTTGAATTTTTGGTGACAGATAGATTTTCCTGTCCGGAATAAGTGGTGTGGGTTTGGTCCCCCTAGCAGCTTGTTCTGGAACTGCAGGGGACCTTCGGGCGAAATCTTTGAAAACCAATAAGTCCAGATAGGAACAACGTATTTTCATCATTTTTGGTAGGTAGGTAGCTGAGAGAGAGGTGTACATAATTAAATGCAAATTATGCAAATGAGGACTTTATTTGCATAATTAATGAGGAAATTCTATAATTACAGTGTTTTACATTATAGTACTTTCATACATGTAATGTATGTAACCTATGGCAGATAGAACATCAACAGATATTAATTATGCAAATGATGAACTAATTTGCATAATTAATGCGAAAATTTTATATGATTTCTAAATGGTGAATGATGGGAATGTCATACTTGGGACATCTGTAAGTTAATCAAAAGTTAACATCACGATGCATATATTATGTTAATGCAGAGGTCATTTGCGTAATTAAATAAGACATTTACATTTACATATCAATCCCATATTTCATGGAGGTATGAGATCTCGGAACTCTTGTTTTCAAAGTCATGACCGGCTTTCCTCGGTCAGTGGATGACCCCTTGACTTTCCCAGGCGGTGTTATGTTTTGTGTTTTGTGAATAGTTTATGTATTTGTATTTATGACGCCATTGATTCTGTGTGAAGCGTCGTGTTCTTTCAGGAGCAACGGTGTCGTCGACCTTGCACAGTTCATTGACCTCGACGCGTAGTAGTCATATTTCCGTGGCGTCATTATCAGCCAATACTACAGCCAACATAGCCATAGCAGACACCTGCCTCTTATTTCCAATCAGCTGTAAGGAGCCGTCTCGGTATCAGTGTCTACGATAGTACGGGCATCTACGATTATCCACCACTTTCTTAAGTTTCTACGTTCATTATCTTAACACACCAGCTTTGCAGGCACGGCCGTTCAACATCTAACTCTAAATACTAGGGTGCCTCTGCGATGCGAAGAAGACCCATTCTTCGACAGTTCTGGCGAAAACAAAGTTTTATTTAGAACACCTCAATCCTGGGTCGGTACCCCTGGTACATGTACGCACATGTAGTAGTCATGACTACAGGTGAATACAGTAGGGTTTCTCCCGAACCGTGCCGTCCCGCCCGCCGCCAGACTGAAACAATTTTCGCCCTGACCTTGGCCGTTGGGGGGTAATCCTCGGGAGGGAGGTGACGCGAATTTCCCGCGCATTAGTCACGGCTAGTTACCGTCTGACGCGCCGGGCTCTCACGGGACGCGCTTCCCGCCAATTTTCACCGCTCGGATTTCTGTGGTTGTAGCGGTATTTCCGCCGTTGTTTGTTGGTAATTGCTGTGATTATGGGGGCTTGTGTGCGTACACAGGGGAATATGTGGTCTATTGCCACCGGTAAAGGGTAAGGCGAAGCATAACGCCTTGTCGATAGCTAGTGGTACAATGCTAGTCTCTAACATACTCCACGTGTTGCTAAAAAGTAATAGAAATTGTAGTTGGCCAGACAAGTTATCCGGCCATAGAGTCACCATATCCAACTAGTGGTTGAGTGAACTGTTCTGTGTTAAAGTAAAGTTTTTTTCGGGGATCTAGGAGGAATCTATCCTCTGGTAATAAGCCTGTCACGCAGTCAGAACCTTCCCACGAAATTGCTCCCGACCAACCGAGGTGCCCAGTTTGCTCCTCTCATCGCATTCAAATAGAATGTAACTTTCCCAAGTTTGATAATTGATTTGTGAAGATCTATAGTCGATCAGCTGGTGCAGGCGACTTTACAAAGACTAGCTGGCAACTCGCCGTCACAGTCCCAACCACCGATGACTTTGCTCAGGATTAACTCCCAACCATGGTCTGGAGAAGGTCGGGAGGCCGTGGTCGGTTATGTGTGGCAGGGGCTTTAGCGGAAATCTTCCCGAATGAGAAACAAACATGGCTTCATACTCTATCACTGACGACGTCCGACGGCTCGGCTGGTACTAGCCTCGATAACAGGCTCCGAATCGCGTGTTTTCTGATCGATCGCTTCTCAGCTTCTGATTTGTACAACTGTGCCGGCCAGTGTAGTAGAAAGCGAGCGACGTCAGAAAACACTAACGTTCATCAACTACCTGTAATTGTGTTCGAATTGTCTTCTATGCAGAGTTACTGGGAAGCCTGCTTTTGAGGCTAGTCTAGCCCAGCGCACGACCTTGTCGCCCGGAAGGACCGCTCTGTGCGGTCAAGGCGTGTTTAGAACTGGCGGTTTCTTATCCCCGACTGGCGATGAAAACTGGGAGCGAACCAAGGGCAAACAGTCTCACACTTTTATCACACAGTCGCCTTCTCGTCTTAACACCGATGTTCCGAACTCAATTCCACTGTGTGGATGGTGTCATCAGCAGGACTACAGATTATAGCATGTTGCCGGAGTTCTCCTGTGCTCGGCAGTCCGTCTGCTGCCTCAGCCCCCCTTCCCACTGAACGGCGATTCTTGTGCGACCGAAAATGGATTTTTGTGATCCTTGGTGTTATCATTGGAGGCCATTGGAATGTAATGAAAATATTTTTAATATAAAATTCAATATATAACAAACATACAGAACATAGAAAATCGTTCTTTGTCTTAAGAATACTAGTAATACATTTTGTTGTGTACAAAAAGAAAACAGCAACTACAATATCATGTGGTCCATAAAAGCCTGTCTTTATTCCTCACTACAACATGTCATTTTAATACCTAAGCCTGAGAAAAGGTTAGATACTTGAATGACATCTTGAATTCTGCTAGTCAATAAAGACAGCAACCGACGTGACTGCTACGTAGGCTAGCCGTGACTTAGTCCCACGGAATCGGCGTGTTCGGTCGAGGATGTCTCTGGGGTCCGAATCATGGGCGCCGCTTTTAAAACAATCACTCACTCACTGAAACAATAGGTGAACGAGTTAATAGGTTACCGTGTAAATTTACGGGTTGATTGCCATGACAAATGTTGTGTACATCTCTTTATTACAGACAGTGACCGTTTTACATGATGTAGAAGCGATTAGCCCCGGTTGCAGGCGTGTCCGAGGTGGGGTCCTGTTCTCTTGGGATCCACTATATCCCGGTTGGTCTGTCCTTGGTCCTAGCAGACTTGGTGTGGTTTAGAATCAATGAAGACCGTAATTATATACTAACTAGGCTACATACATACATACAGGTCACAACAAACGACTAGTTTACAGATACATGTATATACTATGAAGCCAGCGCGAGTAGTATAGACAAGTGAATCCGGCTTCGCCTCGCTTCTTTGTGATGGAGATATCTGTAGAACATGCACTCTCCAAGCAGATGTAAGGATCCGGCCTGTTGAAGGAGGCGAAGTGCTCAAAAGGCGTATTTGATGTAGTTCTAAATGTTACAAAAACAGGCGTAAAACACTGAGACTGAGCCGGAGCCTTCCATCTGCTCGGAGATTCCGCATGTCCGACTCTCAGCCATGTTTGCCCTGCTGGCTTGAACGTTTGCGTGCGTAGACGCGTGAAGTCTGAACGAGACTAGTGATTCCAGAGAAGCGGGCTGGGACTAGGATACCAGGTTAGGTAATTTTGGAAGTTGGACATGAACTTGTCGAATCGATTGTTCACGGTTCCTCGCAGGGTGGCGACGAATAACGTACGCGCGAACACCTGAGATGAACTGTTGGGAAATTCTGTGGACTTAACCTTCATTCCGGGACTCACGCCGTGGCGTCAGGATAGGAGCGCCCCGCGGCGTTACGGGACACACGGCGAGGCGTCAGGGTAGGAGGCGCCCCGCGGTTTGATTGGCATTGTCTGTTCTTCCTCCGCCAAGGGCTTGGCTGGGCATGCATCTGGGACAGGGGGTGAATGGTGGCACTGTAACTCAAGGACAGATTGAATTGCTACCCTACCGCTCCCCGAGACACGCGCGCGTACACACACACACATACACACGCACACACACACACACATACACGCACACACACAAGACAATCTACCCTTTTCCCGTCTCCTTACTGAACTTAAAATAAAGGAATAACGGAGATTCAAAAACTTGAAGCACACAGACATGTTTATGCACGTATCTTTATTTCCTCTGAAGTTCGCCACAGTAAGGAAACTTACACACAAACAACAACTGTCTTCTCAAGTATGCCATGACGACGGGATAATAAGAATAAGAGATATTTCTGTGTAGTCAGATTTCGTTTAGAGAGAATATCCTTCTTACGTCAACGTTCACCACCACAACCAAAGTTTCTTGTAAACTTCTGTACATCCAACCAAAGTCGCAGTGATGTATATGTTGTAAATGGGGTGATAACTTCTGACTGTATGTTATCATATACTCTCTCTGCTTGACCATGTATATTTCATCACACAAAAGTCTTTCTGCCTTTGACATGTTGATTTTCTTAGCAGTTCAACCGCCCGACAGACGGACATTAAGCATGGCAAACAAACTTTAACTTTCCCACCCCACGCTATCTATAGACCCCTGCGTAGCTGATCTCCAAACAGATGTGTGGTTCGGGCCTGTTTCAATTTTAATGCAGAACACCACACATCTGCTTGGAGACCGTCGTTATGCGTCCGTTTGTATCGAATCTGATACTTAAAATAGAACTCTCCTCACAACATGTCATCAGGCACGTCGATTCGAACAGCAGCCGGCTTGAAGTCTTCATTATAATCCATTTTATACATTTTGTTAAACGTATCAAATCCTGACCAGAGTTACAGGCAGAATTTAGTCATCCAATCCTTCTGTGTACATAGCTTGAAAGTCCATCTGTGTTGGTAGATGTCATGACTGCGGCAAGGTTGAACTGTGATTTCCAATACACACATACACACAACATAGTTTCCCTAAAGTTTCGACTCACCAACTCCAGTCAGTGTCAGGGCAAGAGAACCATTCCCCAGCAGAGACGGGGGGTGCCACAAACTTTCTACTACTTATGATCCATTGCTTGTATGTCATCTGCATAACGTGGCCAGTTTCTTGTGTTGGAAATTACAGTTCAGTCTTGATTTACAATGAATTACGCGTACGTCTTGGCATCTTTAATAACATAGCCTCCACAGTAGACTCTACGCAGAAGCTGGCGGTGACGATCTCCAAGAAGATGTAAGGATCAGTCCCAGTGTTCTGAGTGCTCGTTGGTAACAGTTACTAGTAGTATGCCTCTCTACTATTGCACTTTTAAGGTTCGCCTCCTTCTAGGAGCAGTACTAGAAAAACATACCGAAAGTTGTACAACAGGCTTTAAGAACCGGGCTATGTCCTTACATCTGCTTGACGATTAGTCGAGAGGGAAATCAAAGGGAAACTCGCGGCAGCATTGCACAATGTACATGGTTATACGTCGCCTGACAAAGACGTTGTGATATTCACATACTGCATATTTGGAACTCCGTACCATTAGATATTTCAGGTACATCATATGAAACAACAAACACCAACCACAAGTAATACGAAAGCAACAAACACATGACAAAAGCCACTCAGGAACTCCATCTTGCTTTTCCCTTTCTCAGCTCAGTCTTAGTCTCCACCAGACTCCTTAGGGTCTTTAAACAACAGTACAAATTGGACAAATACTGTGAATGATTCGTCGTTTGCGTTATAAGCTTGTCACATAAAGCCCAACTGGCCTGCCGAAGTCCGTAACGTTTTAAAGTTGAAAAGGGGAATTTTTCACCCCATTTGGCTGATTTCTGCTCTTTTTGACCCCCGGTCACATACAAACCGTACGATCGTACGATGCACCTACCTACGATGTCACGGGTTTCCTCTCAAACATCGTCGGTGCATTGTACGATGTTTGTGGCTGAAGCTTTAGCTACTAACGCAGCCTGGTAGAGGCTAGTTGTGTCCTTGACGATGGCAGTGACGTCTGTTGCGACTGAACGCGCCGGTACGTTCGTGATCTGTAGTACTATTAATTTGTCTGAAGTGAGCGGAGAATTTCTATAGCATAACTAACATAGATGGCACGTACCCGGGCGTTACATGGCTCGTTATAACAAATAAAGCCTCCTTGATAAAACACTGACCTCTTTAAGATTTCTAAACGTTTCTTCTGAAATGTGACTGGCACCACGTCGGAAGTCCTGCATTTTAACTTGACCCAATGTGTCCTCTAAGAGGTTGCATGCCTCATTCAGGGTATCGTATGACAGCATTTGACTTTGATATTTCACTTCAACGATTTGCTAAGGGATGCCAAATTTCTGGCCAGTGTTAAGATAACAAATGTTTGACAGATATGTAGGAGGATGTGTGGCAACAACCCAGGAAGTCTGTAGCTTTGTATGACGGGGAGACCGTCAGCCGTCCCTTTCCCCATCCCTGCCCGTCCCTCAGTAGCGCTTCTGGCGGGACAACTCCGGCGACTTCTTGGCGGCGACGTGCCGCAGTTTCTCTCCCTTAAAGAACGGGTTATCCTGAGGAAAATGCAAGGAAAACATAGTCAGAACGTAATAACGTACATGTCTTGAAGAACCAGAGTTATCAACCAAGGATTGATGTGTCCATAGATACTGTCGCTGCCACCAAGTACAATTGGAGCATGATCACTAAATATTAAAAACCTCTAGCAGTTATATGTGTAGAAGCTGTAGAAGCTTTCTGTGACCATTTCACTAATCCCTGAGGTCACTTGCCCTAAGTGGTTGGTCATTTGAACATGATGAAGGTTGCAGTGAGGACTGCAAATGGACTTGTTTGTTGTGTTAAAACAAAGATTCAAACTACAGTTAGGACGTGTCATAATTAGTCTGTTGGCCGCGAACTTGTGTTTGTGAGGCGACGTGAAGCAGACCATAACGTGCGTGGCGCCGGGGAGCTGGCTACTGTTCGGTCCGTTCTGTCAGGGGTGCAGAGTTCTACTCGCTTTGTTATAGTGCACCTGGGGGAGGGGGTGAAGTGACGTAGCTGTGACAGTCGGCGTTCTGATATTGCCGTTTCTAACTGATAACGGACTGAGTTTGAGAACTTCCGTGGCTCCCGTTTCCACCACCGTGGACCTGGGCGGGCGGACAGCACTCCCAGTACCGTAGAGATACGACGGTACATGCCCAGGCTATAGCTACCTGCTAAGAATCTTCAGAGTGAGCGCGGTAAGCGACCCGTGTAACCGCAACTGCTGACATTCAAGGCGAGCTGGTTGTCTTCTGGCCGTTTTCTGGTTACTCGCAAGTGTTGGATTCATACTATCTTACAACCATTTGTTCTTTAGACATCCTCGTGTTGATAATTCATGTTGAAAAAGCCACCCCTTCCTCCCCTCACCACTTGGACTCACCCGTCAAACTTCACCTGACCCTGTGTTAAACCTGCTAAACTGTAGCTATACACTCGCCGACTCTTTACGACCCACAATGGCACTCACCTGACACCGTTTCTATATTTACCAACGGCTTTTCTTTTTACAGTAAAGATCGTCACGGTCCACAAGTGCAAGACAGCATCCGTCTCCATTATATCCGGGATTTACACCCGAAGGACTCAGACCTCACGGACCTGTTCCAGATATAGAACGCCCATCCGCGGTGTTCACGCTCAAGATCGCCACGGTCCATCTCTAGCTGACAAAGATCTTTTAACTCACACCCAGAAGGTCCGACCCCGCTGATACCATTTCTAAGAATAGAACATCTGAAGACAATGTTCCCATGTCTCAAGATCAACATGATCACGGCCCAACTCCAGCTACCCAACCTAGATCATGCTTCACCTCAAGTTGAAAACAGAAGAATAGCAGGGACAGCTGAACTTCAACGCTCCTGATTCTACCGAGTGCCATAAAACCACAATAAAAAACTGTAAAGTTAAATCTACTGATACAACATCGGTCATTCCCGAGGTAAGCACACACTTCAGCGATGTCTTTAAGACATTCTTGAGAAGGCCATGTGGCGGTCCATGAGTCTTATGCCGAGGTCACCATTCCGAACCCGGGGCCCGGCCGGGCTGCTTGTGGGCCGCTACCCCACGGACACCGCGTCTAACCACAGACCACCTGCAGGTGATGTTTGTGTTGCATGGGTTAATATCTAGATATCCTAGATCGTCGCGCTCCAACTGCATCACCCTTTCCCACGACTCTATCGGGCATTAATTATACCTGAAGACCCTGTCACACAAACCCGACCTCCCCCGTCCTTCTCCAGACAATGGTTGGGAGTCAGTCGTGAGCCAGGTATTTGGTTGGGAGGTGGTCGAGCTCGCCTTCCTGCAGAATGTTGTATATTTAAACCAATGCGATGTAGCCATGGAGCCATTTACGTATGTGTTAACGCTGTGAGATGTGTACACGGTTAGGAGGAGGGTACCCTATCATACGTGAGGTGTTGAAAGCAGGCGGCAGGTTGCTCCACCCCTGCTGCGCAGTTTGAAGAACGTTTTAACTTCCCCCAGATGGCGGTAACAACAAACCATCCCGGTGATAATCAATCCTGTGTGGAGGGAAGACGTTGCGGAGATGATGCTCTAACCGACTCATCTGTCCCCCATTTTACCCTCGTCTCCGCCTCCGAGGCCGCGCGACCTGGCGTCGTCTCCCCGCGAGCCCGCGGATCAAAGGGCGCGGTTTGACAGGTAGCCAGGGGCCGGAGCGGCGGGGGGCCCCGGGAGACCCATCCGTCACTGCCGCCGGGCGCGCGCTGTCAGCACCGGTAGCTCGGGTGTCAGTGAGAAGGTAATCAGTGGGTTCATCTGCGTGTAATGGGGACTGTGATGACTGATGCGGTGCGGGGAAGCTGGCAGGAGCTTGTTCCGGGTCGCTCTTCTCTTTGGCAGACCGGTATCTGGTACAGGTGGGCCAGCGGAAACAGCGATCCAAAAGATAAGATGTACATATCGACTGAGTCCTGTCAAACAGGTGAACAATGAACCTGTAAATACTGTTCATAGTGTCGCCACCAGTGAGCAGAACTGGTCTGAGATTATTTTTATCACTTTCGCTCAAGTTTCACGGCTAGAGTTAGGCAGAAGAAGCGTGTATGAGGATAGTGCCTTTATTGAGATGTACGGCTGACATGGCTGAGTGCGGTGGGTCGGCACGCGAGTCCCAGGTGTTGTCACACGTGCCCTGTGAAAACTCGGCGGCTACAAGTCCTGTCGTGTGTCGGGAGGGCCGACCCCGTACGGCACAGCCAGCAGCACCCCGCTCACACGAAACCAAGCAGCGGTAGCCTGGATACTAGAATGTTGCCAGGGCTCACACAGGCTAGCTCCTCGGCGCTAGGGCAAACGTGCCCCAAGGAAATTTTACCACAGCACACAGTGCTCTTAATAAAGTAATGGCGGACTGGGTAAAAACTTACTTGGTGGAACGTTAGCCCTAGAAACAAAATGAGATGCTGGCCGGTGTGAGCTCCGGAAACAGTTTGCCATCCAGGCAAAGCGACGTTGCCTTTGGTAGTGTGCATAGAGTTACAGACACGCCGCGAATCCTACAGGTGGTTGCGTGATCTTCTCGCGCGCCTCACACACACACACACAAACAAGCCTGGGGTCCATCCGTGTACAGAGTCTGTTGTAAAATCCTTTGAGGGGCATGCTGGACCTAGAGCCGAGGAGCTGTCTACGGCCTGTCTAAGATTGGAAACAGGCTAAGAAGTACTAAGTACTAACGATAGTAGTAGTAGGACATAAACTAAGCCTGGGGTTCAACGTGATGCGGCGAGAGCGAACGAGACTCGGAACGTGAAGATCGTCTGTGCTTTGCTCCAACAAGGGGAAAATTGAACTTCGCATTGGTGGGTCAGTTTCCCGGCTGTTGCTGCATCACATGTACATGTCTAAATTTTATGGTGAGAGCTTATAGAAAATAATGATTCACTGGAAGACTACCCTGAAGACCAGTGAGTCTGAGGGTAAAGTCTGTACTTGGTGCACACAAGGTTTGGGAATATTCACTCCCTTCCTCTCAGTCCTCTGTTTTGAACTTGTCTCGTTTGTTGTTACCAAAATGTCCAAGGAGATAAATCAGTGAGTCCTCAGCAATGTTTGCGATGTGTTGCGGGAAGGATGTCTATATTACGCAGAGTTTACCCTCAGTTTTGGGAGCCGCGCCAAACATACCACAGGCAATGGGGGTAACGCCACGTTCAAGGTCACAGACGATATTTACCTCGCGTTCGTCCGTCTCCATGGCGACCGCGCTGCTCAGGCCGAGGCTCTGTGAGGAGGGGAAGAGGAGAAGGACACACGTGTTAGTGACAGGGGAGCCGCCCGCCCGCCCAGACAAGATGGCGAGCCCTGATTCTGAATGGCCGCTTGCCGAACGCATCAAAGCCGCGCCGATGGATGATTCATAGCGCAGAAAATACTTGGAACGCTTCTATAAGCTCATGTTTTGATCGAAGTTGTACCGCAAAGTTACATGCCAGCTCTCTCAGTGTGACGGAAGTTGTAGTGCGGTGCCGATCAGACAGGAGATAGAGAAACCATCACATTTCCTGTTCATAAATGCCCCGTTAACTCTGGCAACTTAGATTTGGGAGAATAGTAAATCAATAGTTCTATTTCAACTCGTTGATTTTACTTAAGTGTCACGGTGTCTTTATTTCTTTAACGGTGTTCATAATTTGGAAGATAGTTGATTTAAAACATTAGATCTTCCAGACTCACAGTGACCAAAGTTTATCATAAACGCGTCTCCAATAGAATATGGGATCAATGATTTTGGAACTATGGATATAAAATCCCGTATGCTGGCTAATTTAATAATAACACAATTTCGGCATACACGAGTTTAATCATAACAGTACCGGGCCCGTGAAATCCTACTTACCCTCCTACGTCTGAGGTACAGGGGAGACTTCTTGGCGACAACCGCCTCCCGCTTCTCTCCAGCTCGGTAAGGATTCTGCAAGATAAAAACAGATAGAAATAGACATCAGGCACAAGTCAGAAAGAAGTGCCATGCATGTCAGGTGAACTGCTGGGGTTGATTTGGAAAGAATACCACCTTGCCGACCTGGTTTTTGCGGCGCGAAGTTTTTCGGGTTGTTTCATGTTGTCACCTGGTGCTGATCAGCTGTTGTTGCCCCGCCTCAGCGGGATGCGTTCCCCCGGACCGCCTCCCGTTCCCGGGTTTTGTGGCTTTCAGTTGGTTTTGATAACCAGAGGCATTTGTTTATGGCGACAGAAGAGAGAACTGTTAAAATGCTGGCGGCTTCTTTTTCGCCCAGACGTGCTTTTCAAATCGTGCTCTCCTGCCGCCCCGTCCCGGAAGCCGTAGAGTTACAATTACAAACGTGAGGTAATTGTCTCGGTGTGGTGTTACGCTAGAAAGATCCAAAAAGAAAACTAGTAAAAGCCGATGAGCGGTAATAAAACTAGGGGTGGTAATCCCATCTATTGAAGACCTGCTGATATTATAGCCCAGGTTTGACCTGTCTTCATCACAAGATGGTGAGCTGGAAACAGGACGTTTTTATATCAGACTTGTCGGAAGACAGCAGACTGCCAGACAGCTAGCTGAGATGAACTGTCATGATCAGCTAACAATAATAACACTAACTGTTTTTGGTTGTTTGTTTGTTTATTCGATCTCCATTAGATTTACATGAAATCTATTCTTCCTGGAGTTAAGTCGGTTGTCTTAACTAAAAGAACTTTCCCTAATGTTGAATTACAATTGACACACCAAATCTATCTCTATGTACAGTCTGACACATCGTCATTTGTGTCTAGGGTATTTTCACACGTAGGACTTCAGTCTGACGTTAGGATTCAGGTACAATTTGCAGTCATCAATCCGGCTGCTAAAGAGACCTTCATGTGGAGCAAGTGGTCGTCCTTTCCTGTAATTGAGTATCTTGAGAGATGCTAAGGACCTTTGGTGGGGGTGAGTCAAGCGGCATTGCGAAAGGGACGAATGGTAATGAAGATGTTGAAGCATAGCAGGGTATTTTGATCGAATTTTAATAGCTTGCTGTAATGTTAATTCTGGATCCTGCCCAGAAGAGTCAACGACCCCCGGACTTATTTGAACAACTGCGTTGTGGGACCAACAGTAAAGCGTGCCTGGCACGTGACGCTGCTAGTGTACAAGAAGTGGAAGCTGTGTGCGCAACAGCATATTGGGAAAAATTGACTGAAAACTTCATATTTCAACATCAGTCTTTCCTCATCATTCAATTTCCCTTTGTCATTTGTTCTGCTGAGTACAAGGCGGCCATTTGCAATCCCATGAGCCTTTGGGGCGTCGCGCGAAGGTGATGTTTTTTGCCCACGCGGGTTGAGACGTATTATCAGTTATCGGACGGACATAACAGATTAGCACATGGATTAGCGGAATAATTGGTAAGATTAGCGTTAGTCTGACAGGAATGCCAGACAAGGCTGACTCCCACGGCCGACGCCAATCTTTTCCGCTCTCGGGCCAGTCACGGCAGAATACGTTAGATATTGATATCGCTTCTTAAAATCAGGCTCTAGAACTCTTTTCGCACGTTTTTCCAAGATTAACTCTTATACAGGAAGCATTCGTCATCACCATTATTTCTCATAGGGTGAGGGTGAATTCAAAGTTCTTAGTCACTGCTGCCACCATAACCTGGAAGTCAGACTTTTTTTCCAGGGCTCCAGGGTTCCCATGTCTACGAGGGAATTTTGACTCCTGAAATCTGAATTTCACTTGGAGCATGTAAGACCTGGTGCCAAGGAGCTGCCCTTTGTAGGCCCTGCAAAGAGCCTGGCTTCCAGGCTATGATGGTAGCAGGGCTTCTCTAGCAAACGTCGCTCCGGTAAGTTTCCTTAGGGTGATATGAGGTCATCCAACTCATCCGACAAGCAGCCTTCAGAGAGCGGAAATTTGTCTTTTTCCGCCTAAGAGCTGAACTCATGGAATGTATGCTGGCGCCACCTTTTCTTCCATTCCGTCATCTTGGTCAGGGGTCCACACCCGGCCTCGTATATCCTTAACCCTGGCCGAGATAGTTCTACATCGCACAACCTCGGCCAACTAAAACACCAGGCTGAGCTGAATGAAACCATTCTGTTTTCCTCGGGCTCAGCAGCAAGGCTCCTGTTTCACGTATTATAAACGGCCATCGCTGAACGATCAAAACTGGACTTGTGTAACCCTTGATTTCATAACTTAAATATGATGCACGTTCTTGAATCAAAAAAGAAAGACAAATATATTTCTAATAATACCACAGTTTTTTTATCACATTCTATTATGTTACTTTTTCTACAAATCATGTTTACATGTATTTGTTGTTTATGCGACTATTAGTCTTCTAATTGCAGTACATTGTGTAGCTATGAATTTGGAAAGAGTCCAAAATTCAAATGCAGGCTTAGAACTTTGTAGATAGTTGGTTCTGTCACAGCATGCTTGAAAATACTACGACACGAAAAAATCACGACGACAAACGTCGATTGTGACCGCGCCGTAAGCGCCATAATCCCCGCCTGGTCTCTCGTTTCTCGGGAAATATTCGGTATTTGTTGATGCAGTAAGCGGGTGAGATAAGAACATGGTGTCCTTGGACTCCTGGGTGCTGATGTAGCCGGCGGGGCTTGGCGATGCACCCCGGGCACGGCCGGACACCACTCAACACCGCCCGGCCACGCCAGCCCACGGACACGGCAGCCCGACGTGTCTTTAACATGTCAGGGTGAAAAGTCTTAAAGAACGGCCCTCAAGACGAGCACAAGATGTCATTAAGATAAAGTTAATCCTTCTACTTTCTGATCTCCTTTTGACAGTCGGAAAGACCCACGGGCCGCCACATTTATAATACCAGTCCCCACCAGGATGGTGTCCGCTACCCAAAATACTCGT